GAGGGCAAGGAAGCGTTTCACTCCTTCCCCAACCCCTCGTCCTGTGAATCTCTTCCACCTGGCTATTCCTGGGTTGCATCTTCTGTAATGAACTAGAAACAGCAGGTAAAGCACTTTCTTGAGTTCTGTGAGCCATTTACACCAAGTGTGGAGCCTGAAAGGGGGTGAGTTGTGTAAAATTCCAAATTTGTATCCAATTCGGACGGAAGTGTGGGTACCCCAGGCACCCAATACCTGTGACTGGTGTTGAAGTCGGAGCCGTCTTGTGGGACTGAGCCCCTCCCCTGTGGAATCTGATATTAACTCCAGGTAGTTAGTGTCAGAATTGAACTGAACTGTAGGACACCCAGCTGGTGTCCAGAGAGAACTGATCTGTGGTGTGGCAAGAAGCCACATAGTTGGTGTAATAAGAGTTATGAGTAAAAACAGTTGACCCTCTCTCCCTCTGTCTACTCTGCAACGTTGTTCATTCTCCCTCTGTAAACAGCTTCAATTCTGGACACTCAGTTCAGTCCAGGGTGCCCATACTTACCTCTCTCCACCTCTCCCTACCCATGTCTGGGTCGCCACACACCCCCCTGTGCCCTCAGCAGCTACTGGAGGTTAGTAGGAATTTGAAGGAGGGGGAAAACGAGGCAGCTTAATGGGTACAGGGTTTATTCTGGGATGATGAAAATGTTTCAGAACTTGATACAAGTGGTGGTTGTACAACACTGTGAATGTACTAAATGGCACTGAATTGTTCACTTTCATTTTATGCTATATGAATTTCACCTCAATTTTTAAAAATTATATGTTTCAGATGGGAATATTTGAGACAGTTTGTGACTCAGGCAGAGATGGGGCTTCCTAACTTAGGGAGCCGGATCCTCAGATGCAGGGAGCGCTCGGCTTGAAAATGGGAGCTACAAATGGTGTGTGTATGGGGGGGACACTGAAGCTAGGGGTCTTCAGGACAGTGTTATGGGAATTGGAACTGGGAGTGGACCGAGGAATAAGGGTTCAGGTTTGAGATGACGAATTTATCGTAGTTCATTGGTGCCCCTTTCGTGAGGGGTGAAGTCGGCAGGCCATCAGCAGCCCTCCCGCCAGGAGCTGAGCTCTGCATGTCACACCTCACTTCAGGCACAGCCTTCCATGCAGGGAGCCAACCTCTCAGCAGTGACTGAATTCATCCTCATCGGCTTCTCCACCTTCCCCCACCTCCAGCTGATGTTCTTCCTGCTCTTCCTGCTCATGTACCTGTTCACGCTGCTGGGCAACCTGCTCATCATGGCCACCATCTGGAGGGAGTGCAGCCTCCACACCCCCATGTACCTCTTCCTGTGCGCCCTCTCCATCTCTGAGATCCTCTGCACCTTTGCCATCATCCCGCGCATGCTGGCCGACCTGCTCTCCACCCACCGCTCCATCTCCTTCATGGCCTGTGCCAGCCAGATGTTCTTCTCCTTCAAGTTCGGATTCACCCACTCCTTCCTGCTCACCGTCATGGGCTATGACCGCTATGTGGCCATCTGCCACCCCCGCGCTACAAGGTGCTCACGGAGCTGAAACCCTCTGGGCACTGGCGGCTCTTTCTCCTGAGTGTGCCACGTCTTCACCTGGTTTATCATATTCTGACCTTGCCCACTTGACCCTGATGTGGGTGGACCTGCCAGGAGGCTAGGCCTGCCCCTGTGGAGGCTGTAGAGATTCTGCAGGGAGGGTGCACCTAATGCCTCAAATCAGTGTTGTGAGGAGGGGGCCTTGGCCTCCCTAGGGTCCTACCAGTGTCAGGAGGACTGTCTCTCCCCCACTCTCCTGCTCAGTAGTTCTGCCAGGAGCCCATCCTTCAAGTTCTCAGTCACCTGAGGACACACCCCAGGGAAATTCTGGACAGGATCAAGAGAGGGCCAGGAGAGGGGCTCTAGACCCACTGGGTGGTGCATTCTGCATGTGGGAGGATGGTCCATGTGGTGACACAAAGTCCTCAGGATATCTGCCCACTGGCATCACCATATTGCCTGAGATTCCACCATTATAAATGTCCCT